TGATACGCGCCTTGAGATACGTTGTCGATCGCGAGAACTTATCAAACGCGCGGTGATAATCGTTCATCGCAACAATCGCGACTATCGCGCTTGGCGTCTCCCGGCACTTGCCGCGTCCGCGTCCCGAAGGGTAATGCGACCTACAGCTCGCGCCGCCTGCGTACCGCTCGAGGTCTCGCCGCGCGAATAACAACAAAGAAATGTAAACACAAAGCCAACCGCGCACGCCGACCGTTCGACGTACGTTTAATTCAAGAAATATCGTTTCACGTAGGATTTAATAATTAAAGGGATACTGAAGTGATTCCGCACTTTTGCCACCTTTTGCTCCTAGAACTGCCAATTCGTGAAAATACGCGAACATTTGTGTGATATATACATTGTGTTGCTTTCGTGCACGAACCGACAGTGTTCTACTATTCGGACTAAATCAAGAGAACAGCACGATATCATTGAAATTAAGTTTAGAAGCCTAACAAAAAATCTATATATTATATGTTACCTATAAACTTATAACTTATTCGAGTGAATAGACTTCTTGTTAAGCTCCTAAACTTAATTTCAATAATACCGTGCTGTTCTTTCACTTAATCTGAATAGTGGGGCACTGTGGTCCGCACACAAAAGCCATGTAATTTGTATATATTACACAAATGTTTTCACGATTTGACAGTTCTAGGAGCAAAAGGTGCCAAAAGTGCAGAATCACCCCAGCATCCCCTATTTCTCCCCTCTTTCAAACCGATCTTATTGTAATCGCGCGAACGCCGTCCCGGATACGCGCATCCGCATCGAAAACAATAGCGAAAACGATAGTTTACCCCTTCCGGGACGAATATAAACTCTGTTTCTCAAATTGAAATTTGATCATTCTTTCTCGCGGCGCAATTAATCAGCCGAGCTGTGAAAATTAATAACGGGTGACGGATCGATGCACATGTGTAAACGAAGTTTATACATTAACGGGTCCGAACGCGTCACCTCTACCTTTGATCGCGTGCAACTCGAAAACTGTTTGTGAGCCTCGACATTTTCAATTTTCGGCCCCAATTAATCTCTAGAATATGCTATTAAAGTATTGTACGGTGGTCATGGCACATATGGATCTTTCAAAAAAATACTTTTCGTTCTAAGCTCGTTCGTAAAACGTTTTGACGGGGGCGAATGGTGAAATTTTCTATTTTCAGAAAACGTTTGTATTAAAATAAAAAATCAAAATTGTGAAAATTGCTCGCTCGCTCCGGCGACAGGGAAGCTCGCGCGCGAACGATCGATTTTGCTGACCGCTTCTTATCTGGTTCGAGAAATCAATTTTGACGAACGAGGGGTAACAAGCGGCGTATGAAATCTCATAAGTTTCCAGGAGATTGCGATTGTCCAATTCAGCTGCACGGAATCGGATAAAACGGAGACGCTGAGACACACACATACACACACGCGCGTGCGATTGATATATCGATACATGTGCATTTATAATATGCACGTATGAAGCCTTGTGCAATGTGCGGCAACTTAAAATAAAACCGCGGAAACTTAAATGGCTGAAGCCACAGGCGGAGGGAACTGTCTCAAAACGCGAGCTCCTGAAAAACGACTTAAGCCGTTTTACGCGCGTGTATATGTGTGTGTGCATAATATGCATACGTGCAAGACGAGGTAACCGTGCAAGCAAAGAGAAAAGTTCGAGGTAGACGAAGTTCGCCCAAGAGAGAATATTCGAAAAGATACGAACTACGGCTTACTCCGCCGTTCTATTGGCGTTCGATTACCGCATGTAAAGGAAGCTTTTATCTAAAGAGAGAATATGGGGAAATCCGTCTCATTAAGGATAAATTATTTCGTAAATTTAATAACGCTCTATCTTCTGGCAAAAATTTAAGTTTCTTAATACCAAAAATATTCAAACGGATTTTTTCTTACTTTCTAAGAACATTTAATATTCTTCTATTAATATCCAGTGAACTTTTTTCAGCAAAATTTGATGCTGAAAGTTTACCAAGTTTAAAAATGCGACAGATACCGTATTTCCCGCTCGACCTTTCTCAAAGGAACTTGATGTAACGAACGGTTTAATATTACAGTATTTAGATATTAATCTTTTGTTCAAATTCCTAGTAAAATGAACAAATACTTCTTTTTAATTTGAATATTTCATTAAATTTCGTTATCGCTGGTCACGTGTAAATCAGAAAGAAAAAGATGAAGATCTGTGTAAACTGAAGGGAGGAAAGGATAGGCTTTCTCTCTTTCGGCACACTGTCTGATAATGTAGGTACAAATTGCAGAAGTTGGTTGAACTTCTGATAGAGAACTCTGTAATAAAGAATAGAAGATAGCGTGGCCGAAGTAGGACGTTGCCACGAATGTAACAAAAGGACGCCAGTAATGAATCGGCAGATTGTCAGTAAAGGATATCCCCGGAGTCTCCCTTTCGAACGCGTTAATGAGGATTGAATTCATTACTTGACAGTGGCTAGATATCAATTAACGGAGAAAAGGCCCCGCAGGCCACTTTTACATCACCGACTGCCAACTAGAACAATCTCGCCGTGTTTCAACAGGCAACCGTAATTGAAAGCAGAAAATTTCAAACGCGCTAAGTGTCGGGAAGTTGTTTTTCTTTAATATCGGAAAAATGTCACACGTTTGCGATTTTTATTTCATTACAAACGCCGTTTGTTGACACTACAATCTCGGTTTTCCAACAAACTGTTCAATCATTTCAAACACAAAAAATAACGGGGAATACTTTTAGAACAAGAGTTCGCCGATTCGTAGCGCTAGAAATTTTCGTAATTAAGATTTTTCGAAAACTTCCCCTCGTGGAAAGAACGTTTTTAATATCTCGATCGAGAAATACCGTTGACTGCATAATATTATTGCTGTTTACCAGACACTACTCCAAATGTTTTATTCAACACATTTTTATTCTATCGATCTATTATTAAGACATAAGGTAAATAACCATGTCTTTTCGGATCTAAGATGCCGTATTTTTGAAAAGCGATGAGGCGCGAACGATGTATAAACATATTCATGACTCGAATCGAGTATTCCATAAAGCCGCAGAGTTTCACCCCAATCATGAGGCGACGAAATACCCCCCCGTCCCAGTAAATCCCAGCAATATCTTGTAAATATTGCAGCACGCTTGAGAGATTTGAAATGCATTACTAATCTGCTATGCAGATGCAAAATGCAACGACACCTTGAGGAAGCAGATATTGATTCGCGCAGACTTTGAGTCGTCGCGATAAAAACTGAGGGAGAAAAAAGCGCGATTACGCCGTCTCGGTCCGCAAGAAACATTGATCTCCAATAATTTATGTAACGTGTTACCCACGCGACGCGCACTCGTCGTGACACAACCAATTTATATTACACAGTCAATTACAGTCAATTTTCATTCGTCGTAAACAAACTTCGATATGTTTCGATAACTAATGACAAACGCAGCAGTTATTTTAATATACGCGTGGAATATCTAAAAACAGAAACGTACCGTCGATTGGTGTCAGCGGAAAAATAGACGAGCCACGTTCTATCAAAAATGGAAAATATTAGAGAATGGAATATACGTGCTAACGTTTAGTTTTTTCCATCGCTTTTTCCGCATCAGGCGAGAGCCTAATATTATTGTCACAATGACAGCAATTTTTAAAAACTGATAAAGAAACGGAGGAAATTACGAAAGTTTATTTGTTGTAAGTTTATCGCAAATAATGAAAAAATATTTTACACGCCTAAGTCGCGTCATGTCGTAGAAAACTTGAAGATAAAGAACGACAATTAAGATACGAATGTTCACTTACTCAGAGTCACTTTGTAAGGTACGGACTCACTTGTAAAAATAGCTACAATTAGCTATTTTTTACTGTTCTATTAACGTTACTGTTCTATTACACGTAGCGTTAAAATACAAATATTTAGAAATATAGCCCTCCCGAATTTATTAAATAATGCAGTAGCCGACAGTTAATTTACGAGAAAAGTATTGAATTAAAATAAAGCGCAATCTTCTAACCTCAGATATTATTTTCTTCTTTTACCCTCACGGGTAAGTATATATGTATCCAATAATAATTAATAATTCAATAAAAGAAAAATTACTTTATGTCATTAACAGCGAATACATTTCGCATTGTACTTCATCGTGCTACAGCGCTAAATCAGTAGGGTGTGATTTGATCAATTCATTTTGTTGCAATTTCCACTGTTTCAAAATATTTGTATAGATAGCAACCGATCTTTCATTCGAGTGAGTGACAACATCGTCATCTCGTCACATTTCGCGCATCTTCCTAGCACGCGGCCTAACGAGAATTCGCGTTCGTCCTTTTGCCGTAAAGGGTACACGAGGCACTCCGGGTGGAAACTATTTTTAGATCACCGGAGAGCTCTCCATTTGGCTTAGCGACACTTCCACGAGGAACTAAGGGAACTGGTAAATACCGGAATGTACCGCGTGCCATCCCGTATAAATCCCGCGGGTGCAATCCTGCGGAGGCAGTCCATTATGGTGGAACGAACCGTGGACTCACCGGGATAACCGAGAAATCTCTTAGAAGGCACTTGAAGCGAAAACGCGCTCATCCCGCGGACCAATTGGATAACGAGCGATAAAAATTTTGTGATTTAAATAATCCGCAACGGATGGAAAGCCGGAACGCGTTCCGCAAATTTAATACAGCCCGTGTTCGTTCGTCAAAAATTATTTTTTGTTCCTGTCCGCATATAAAGCAGCTCGTAACAAAATTTCGCTTTTTCTTACAAGAGCATCTCGTAGAAAAAAAAGGAGACAGGACATGCAGGAATGCTTGTATCAAATTATTACTTTGAAACTGAAGAAACAAAGGAATGAGTTTTGTTATTGGAAAATATTGCGGTATCACGCTCACTCTATTATATGCTCTTTCAATTGCGTTTCGTGCAGCCCTCAGATAGACAATCGTATTGTCTATGGAAGAGTTAATAACAACGCTAAACATAAAAGGCCTTACGTTTATCTCCGCCTTTTATTTCTTCGGGTTTCTACGTGTCTCTTCTTCAAAGGCTTCCTCTTCCTCCTTTTCTCCTCCAAGAAATTCCCGAGATCAGTAATCCTCGCGCGAAACGAAGCAGCACGGCGTTCAGTTCAAGCTACAAAATTTGTTGTTCCGTTTTCACAAAACAGAAGGCCATGACTCCCGAACGACGTGACGATCTAGAAAACAAACCAATCGCAATCGTCGATTAGATTAGATTAGATTAGATTAAGAGACATTTCATTGTCAGAAACATTATTTATCTCTAGTATGTAATAGCTGATGAAAAAGTACATACAGCATAAGTTTTGATAATGCAGCGTATCGAGCTGATCTAATTTATTCGATAAATCTTGCGTGTGACTTCTCGCCAGTCTTTTATGTTCATACAAAAAATAGATATATGAAAATGTAACGCATGCACGATACAGTGCAGTATTAAGAGGACCTTTTGCCTCGTCATAATATAACAACAGTTTCAAAATTTGGCCACTTTAGAATATATATACAGTTTACACACACATATACCGCCGATGTATCGTAACGTCGAGTCTATTGAATTCCATTGATATTGATTCTATTGATTTGTTCAATTGAAGAACAGACAGATAAGCGGATAGATATCAATTTGGATTAAATAGATGTGAATTTCAAAAGCAGTATCTCTCCTCTATGAAGTATTCAACGATTAAAACCATAGCTACCCTTTCTGCATAGAGTATATACATATGTGTTTAACTAATGTGTTTAACTTTATTGAAAACTAAAGTTATCGTTTAGGCAAAGCTTAAAAGTTATACAGGGTGTGTCCTAATACCCGTATGTCCCGTAGATGGTAGATAGACCGGGGCAAACTGAATAGAAAAGTCCTATACTATTTTGCAAAATTCGCAGTAGTTATCGAGAAATTAATTTTAATGTCTGAGCGAATGAGAGCGTAGAAGGCGACAGGCCGGACTCGGCAGGCAACGGTGGGGCATCATCTAATAGCGAGAGGTGGAGCGGCACGCCGAAAAAAAGTTGTCACGCAGCGAGCGGCGAGCTTTTTTGACAACTTTTTTCGGCGCACCGCTCCACCTCTCACTATTTTAGATGATGCCCC